AAATCAATTATATAATTAACCTAAGCATACTAAAGTACGCATATTGATTATAACATTTTTTGGTATTTTTGTTATTCTAGATCATGACTTCTAATTTATCTGCATTGTGGAAATAAGTAGATAAGGAGATAAATCAATTGTTTTGAAAATATAATTCTTTGTGTATTCTTGCATATCAACAGATATGTCGATATGCAAATAATTAATAAATTTATAATCTTATAAAAGTAACATTGTACATCACTTTATTTTCCATTCTTCTAATATTTTTTTTTACGAAAAGAAGGATATACGTAAGGACGTATATACTTAGGATCATATTGGATATTTATACTAAAAAAAATTTATGGTAAATATAAAATATTCAGTTTAAGTCACACCTCATCGATTTCAATATCCTTTAGATATGTTATAGGGGAGAATGATTCTCCAACACAAATTAAGTGGGAGACGGCATTGTTGGTTTAGAAGATATAATAAATTAATGTTTCATAATAAAGTCATAGCATACGACTTTCCACGCAAAACGACTTCCACCTCCCCTCCCCTCTGCTTCGAGGCGCACGACTTTTCAAAGAAATATGGTAAATCTTGGAAAGTCGTATTCCTCCTCTCCCCCTCCTCGAAGCAGGGAGGAAGTGGAATGAAAATATACTCTTACACCAATGTTATCCTCTATATGTATATTATAGAACTTTTAATTTACTATATCTCCTAAACCAATGCCATCCCCCACTTAATTCTTGTGGGGAATCACTCAGGACATTCTCCCCTACAACATATCTAAAGGACATTAAAATCGGAGAGGTGTCATCTAAACTAGATATTTACCAAATTTTTACTAAATTTTAATATATATTTATTTAAATAGTACTAATAAATATATATAAACTTACAATAAATAAATATTTACTAAATTAAAGAAAAGATAGTTAAATCAAATGAATAGTTTTTGTATTAAATAAATATATATTTATTCAGCTAAAGAAAAAAATCGCAAAGCTTAGATATGCCATATGAGGTTATCCTATATTACATACATATACTTGGCACCAAAAATAATTATAAATTATAGTTAAATTATGAATTATATAAATATATAAAAATATATAAATAAGGACTCTCAATCTTAAAAATAATTAGAAATTTAGACCAAGGCTAACGCTGTTGTAAGAGCGAAGAATTAAGAGATGTAGATAATACTCAAGTATTGGTGATTGTCTTCATTTATTATATCGAACGTTTCGGCTCGCTTTGGAGTCATCTTCAATGAAAAAATAGACTATAATACCACGTTGAGAGTAAGTCACTCGCAGAATGGCAGAAATGCATTCGAGGAATGATTTTTGTTAATTTTTGTTAATTTATATCTCATGGAAATTGTAAATCAATGTTTGTGAACTTCGTTGTTTTCCCGTTGAGGTGAGTCACACGATTATTACTGATTTTTAAGTATTGAACTAACAGTAAAACGGTAATAATTTATATAGCGTATGGATTACTGCATTTCTGCCAATCTGCGAGTTACTCTAACGTGGTATTATAGTCTATTTTTTCGCTGAAAATGATTCCAAAGTGAGCCGAAACGTTCGATATAATAAATGAAGACAACCACTTGAGTATTATCTATATCTCCTAACTCTTCGCTCTTACAACAGCATTAGACTTTCATTAGTTAAATTATGATAATTGCAATTATATTTAGTAGTAACAATTATAATTTATATAGTTCTATTTGGTATTAACTATATATTTTTTCTATAGAACTATAAATATAAACATTATTACTAACGTTATAACAGTAATAACCAAATTTATATGATAAATATCAAATTATAGTCACAAATACCAAACTTTTCTCTCAGTGTACGTAAATCTACAAATTTATATTCATATTATATAATATAATAATGCATTGACAGTAATCAATTAGTAAGATAATAATAATAATTATAATATTTCGTACAAAATTAAAAATTAAAAAAAATATTTAATTATAGATCTTTTATAAAAAAAAAAGGATATAAAAAACTAATTAATTCTAGAATCAATTATATTGAATCATAACAACAGCACAGAAATTAAAATGCAGATATAGCTATTTGTGTGTGTTATAAATCTGAATAAAGATAATAAAATCATCATTTTTACATGCATTTGTGTATAACCGTATAATGAACTACAACTCGAAATGTAATAATAATATGGGTATCTTTTAAAAATATTTAATTTATTTTCATATTAATAAATTTTCTAATTTTCTTTATTCTTACAATACAAGGTACAATTTGCCTCATCCGTCCAAAGATGGGTCATTAGAATCCGTCTATTTTCTTCACCTATTCAGAAGAATGGTTCAAAAAAATCTCTAAAAATTCACTAATATACTTTCAACTTTTTAGAATAAATATATATAAATATAAATAATGAAATTTCATTTTTGAAAATAATAAAATGTAGTATAATTTATAATTACCGAAAGACTCAAAGAAACTTGCACGAAACAGGAATCGCTCGAATACTAGTGACCCAACCTTGAACGATAAGGATTAAATAATTAACTCTATCTTTCTTCCTCTTTCAAAATAATATATAACCAACACACACACCCACACTCACACCCACACACACACGAACGTACACACACAAACACATGCGTGCGCACACACATGCGCACACACACAGAAGCTGTTTGAAAAGTAATGATAAATTTTTCGCATAAAGGCAGAATGAACCAAATTGAGAAGAAAAGTCCATTTTGCAATTTTCTCAATAGTTAACAAGAAAGCCGAAAATTGCCTTCATAATAATTTTTTACTTAAATACTATCAACTTTATAGACAAACTGCAAAAGACAAAAATTGTTCATTTTCTTTTCATAGAGCTCTAAAAATTTTTTTAGAATTTTTTCAGAATCTTTTAATACTGCATTTTCTCATGTTGTAAAAATGAGAAAATGCAGTACTAAAAAGTTGATAAAAAATTCTGAAAAAATTCTGAGAGCTTTATGAGAAAAAAATAAACAATTTTGTCTCTTGCAGTTTTTCTGTAAAGTTGATAGTATTTAAATAAAAAATTATTGAAGACCAATTTTCAGCAATTTTTAGCAATTAATATCTTGTTAACTATTGTGAAAATTGTAAAATGGTAGAGGACTGTTCTTCTCAGTTTAGTTCATTCTATGCGAAAAATTCATCATTATTTTCCAAACACTCTGTATATCTGTGTGTATTATATTAAACAGCGTCATTTAAATATAGGTTACAGTTAAAATAAATTCAATTAAAAATATTTTATTTAAAAATAAATATAATGCAAGAATGTTAGATTATACACTAATTTTATTTACTTATTTTTCTCTAATACGTTCAATTTTGGCTCAATTTATTACATAAGATTAAAAGCACTTTTAACGAGACTACAAGGCCGCCAATATGGCAGTGATAAAGTTGAAAATTATCTCTTCCGCTGTGCGTCACGGATTCAAGCTTGCGTCGACATTTATACGAGTAATAACAATGTCCCATGTACGAAATGATCGATAAAAAAAGCTACCGTGACAATGTGAAACGTCAGCGGTTTATGCCGTTACAATCGTTTCGTTTTACGTTCCTCGCAGATCTCATCTTTTTACGTTGCGGCCTCGTTTCGCAACGTAAAAACTTTTTAATAGGTGCAAAATAGAAAAGGCCAAAGATAAGATTATAAATAATATTAATATTCTACACAAATAACAGTTCAAAACGATCGAAAAATGTCTCCTTGTTTTCTTCTAATTTTCATATTTTAGTAGATTTTTTAAATAAACTTCGACGTTCTATTATTAAATAGAGTCATTAAATAAATTTTTCAAATACCATTGTTATACGTATAATCGCATGTATGTAAATCTATAAATATTATGTATTTACTATAATGATTAGTATTATTGATTTATAATTTCTTATTAGTACAGTTATACTTATTGTTAGTAATAATTGACGTGAGTCCCTATTTTTTGCATAACACGACAACTTAATAATTGCTGACTGTACGTATACTAATGTTTTAAACTTCATACAAAGGCATTGCTATCAATAGCTCCAAATTACATTTGTATGTTAGTAATGATTCGAATCAAAATTAAACTGCATTAGATAGGACAATTTTATATGTAATATTTAAAAATCCTATAATGTAGATATTAAAAATGACCTTTAAAAAAATATACGAGTCTGTAATATCAAGTCTGTATTAAAAAGTCGTTGCTCCAAATATATTATGTGAAGAGTTTATGACTATTATATAAATTGCGCAACAATTCCCGCGCTGTGTAAAGCTCTCATTGTCCGTATATTATATTCTTATCTTGTTTTTTAAAATCGAAATTCTTTTATTATGACAATGATTATCATTATGACTTCTTTTTTCACTACGTAAATTTCACTACGTAATTACATAAAAAATATAATAAATACATGTACAACATCCAGTGTCGGCTCTTTATTAGCATTTTTAAACATTATATATTTGATTTAATTTCATTAAAAAAAAATTAATTCTTATTTAGCAAGAATATTTAAATTATTATTATAATTGACAAACATTGACTTTTCCGTCTTGTACGTATAAAATCTCGTAATATATAAAAAATTACTAGTAAAAAAACAAATCGGCGCTTTCGCGATGAAAAGATATTTCACATTATCGCACGAGGAAATTCTTTGGAGAGGATCACTTAATATTTCTCAACTCGATATGCTCGATGAGCTAATGCCTCAACGATTATTCTCCGCGCGAGATAATCATGTCGCTCTTAAAAAGTAGGGCGATCTTTTTCTTCGATGTTCTATTATTAAGCTCGATCATTTGTACGGTTTTAGAATATCGCCAACGTCGTCTCAGACGTGATGATATCGCCCGTCTGTATGCGCAAATTGTACACGCAGATTTCAGAGATTGTATGCTGTTCCCACGATTGTTGTCGCGGATTATCCGCGGATTATTCGTGTTCCACTTACCTTTTTCGGAGAGGGATGCAACACGGTCACCGGAACTTGGCGAGGGGTTGGCATGGACGGCGGCAGTTGAGTATGCTCCTTCACGGGAAACCGCGATAATTTCGATTCCCGATTCGAGGGTAACTCGAGCAGATGCTGTATCGAGTGATTCTGTCTTGTTTTCCTGGACGCCATTCTGTTAACAGACAAATCCGCACTTTACAATATATCTGCAACAATTTGATTATTTCCCACGCATATACATAGAGACTTGCAACAACATTGCTGCAATATTGCAACATTGTTACAATATTATGGTTGCAGTGTTGCAGTGTTGCTATACGGGTTATGAAACTGGAAAAAAATGTACTATATCTTAATAAATATATTTTTTGATAATTTGTAAGTAAACAGTTTACTTATAGTAAATAAATATTTACTCAATGAAAAAAATAATAGTTAAATCAAATTAATGATTCTTGTATCAAATAAATATATGTTAACGTTCAGTAAATGTTTACTTAGAAATATTTAAAGAAATATTTATTAAGATATAGTAAATTTTTTTTCAATGTATAACTGCTAGCGCAAACAAATGGCTCTGCAGATGGTTTCTTCGAATTTCGTATCAAATGTTTTTAACATATCAAATAATTAAATAGGAATTTAGTTTTTATTATCTAGCTCTTATTATCAGTTATCTAGCTCTTTATCAGTTATTTCTGCGAAATTCGTAATTCAGGATTTAGAGTACTCTTTTAATTACGGAATTCGATGAATTCGTATTCTTTGTTATCAAAGAGAAATATCTGGAAAAGTACATGGTTTTAAATTAAAATGTATCATATTGATATCTTGCGTCGTGAATCATATCCACTGTACGAATTTTATTTATAAATATCGAGGATGTTGAAAGCAAACCGCTATTGTAATCACGCGACCAAGCCGAACGATAGCCATGTGCGTAGATACCTCTTTCCAGACGCGCAAAGGCACTGGATATCGGATAAAACTTTCGCATTTAACTTTTCCGTCCTGCTGGGGAAACGACCAACAAAGCTCATCACAGGAAAGTTTTCCGAGACAAGGACGGGCGATCGACTCAAAAGCGAGACAGAGCTCGGGTCGCGCATGCTCTTACCACTACACAATCGCGACCGTGATTTCGCTACATACAAACTCCGATTATCCAAATATCGGACGTCCGGACTTTCGTGGTTGTTAGATAAGCTATAAAATTGTCGACCGTTCCACAGAATATGGAAATATACCGGTAAATGGTATAATGAGTCTGCCATTATACAAGAATAAATGCAATCAAAATCATTTGTACAAGTAACAAAAATTATCATCAACTGCAAAACTAAGTATACATAAATATTCCCGTTTACATTTCAAGCTCATTTTCTAAATTTCTCATTCTGTATATTTTTAATGTTCTTAATGTTCTCTTCAAATATAATAATTCTCTAAGTAAATTTTGCCGAAGTTTACATTTTTAATTCTCGAAAGTACATCAAATATTTGATACAGATTCCTGAAAAAGAATCTTTCCAGGAGCGACCTCCAGTAAGTTTCGTAAAAATCCACGCGCGGAACATATCTCCGTAAAATCCTCGTGTATGCGGGGATGCGATAGCTCACCCCTCGTCGCGAAAGTTTGTTCTCCCTCGCGTGTTTACGCACGCGCCGCGTCGCGCGCACGCACACGCACATACACATACCAGACATATGTACATTTCGCTGGCTGCAAGCTGCCAACACATGTACGACGTCGACGAGGATTACGACCGTGACCTTACCGACCAAATTGTCAGCGAAAAAAGCAAGAATGTCCTTTCAACTATATCAAAACCACCACACCGTGATCATACGTGATAACAACATAAAGTTTATAACTGTTAATTAGATTACCTTACATTCGTTACACGCAACTTATTGTTTTGTAATTTATTACAAAATCGCGTGCATTGATATATATATATTTTTTTTTTCCATATTTAATCTACAGTTATATAAAATAAAAAATTGATTGCTTATGACAACGAAATTTTGCATCTTGAATATATGTATATAATCAATTCACTATCGACGTAACATAATTTATGACTGCGGAAATAGTTCGAACGATGCCTGCATGATTTCGATTTCAATCATTCTTTCAGTTTAATGGTTAAAATATATATAACAAGATATCACGTAGTTATGGAATTGATGCAGTGAATATGTTAGGATTAATTTTGGTGCAATTCGTAGTAGATATGCCGCAAATATTCAGCTTTAATCACCGAGTCGCAACGACCGCTCGTGCCGATCGATTAGACGCATTCAGCCATAATGCATACATATAACTCTAATTAGCCGTCCTTGATATGTGAAATCAACAATGCTTATTATAAATAAAAAGTTTCTAAGAATTTATAATATATCCAAGTCGGCAGTATATTAGAATCGCGCATGAATATTTACTGAATTACTTTATGTTCTTTATAAGTTCTTTAAGACTTTCCTTATGACGTAAATAAATCTACTTTATAATAATTTTTAATATTAAATGTATTAGCAATCGAGTTTATAATATAAAAAAAACTTGTCAAACATAAATTAACTTAAAATTATTTTTAAATCAAGATTGTATTGTATAATTATTATTTGTAATCGCCTTCTCTTTAATTCACTTTTTCACAGTTTTATTGCTAGAACATATTTTGGTGTTTTCAGAATTAAAACTCGCATATTTGCAAACTACGTTGCCGTTGCATGATTCTACATTCCAATTCACATATCGATGAATTCATGAATTATCTACGATCTTTCAATAAAAAATTCACTGCATAAACAATAAATCACGCGAATAAGTAGATTTTTGCAAAACGATATCTCAACTCTTTCCACTTCTTCCTATTTCCTGTCAATCGATTTGCCATAAACGTGCATCGCCTGTTACGATCGTACTCTTCTGAACTTCAACCGAATTGGAACGCGACCCGAGAATTAAATAAAGTGTGATCGATCACGTCCACAATGGATTCGCTTAGCAAATTTTACAAGACATGCCACTTCGTAATAGAGTCTATTTTAATAAGTATTTAAACATAAAACTTTAAAATATACTAAATATCAGCTGTTTTGTAAAAGATTTTATACAAAATGTTTTCAAACTACCAAACAAACTTTTCTATAAACTTTTTAGTCTACTTGTAATTAACTTTTTAGTCTACTTGAAATTAACTTTGCATAACAAAAATATCATGAAAAGTTATTTGCAAAGTTTCAACGTTAAACGTTATTCCAACTTATCTACAAATTAG